TGGTTTCCTCCAAGAAGACAGGATGACCTTTTAAGGTTTGGATTGATTTATGTTTAGTCGTTGTTTATGTTTAGTTGTTGTATGGGCTTAGCCCTCTTTGTTACCGAAAAAAAAAACAAAGATATATTTGTAAGATTTATTCGAGTTTGTGTAAGTAGTTTATTTTTATTTCTGGGATAACGGGTTTGGATTTTGTTGACATAGTTACTTTCCGACATGAGACTACGACGTCGTATCGTATTCCACTGTGGAGCTTGAACGCTTTATCTTTCTTGTTCTCTCGCGTCCGTGTGTTGATCTCAAAGCTAACAAAATCCTCTCCTTTCGTCCTTAAAAAGAAAAAAGAAAAAGAAAAAAAACCCTCTTCCTTCCTCTCGTTTTCGAAATTCCAATTTCCCGCCTTCTCTTCTCTCAGTCTCACACTCTCGCGCAGAGAGGTAGGAACCAACCATTCAGTCTTCATCATTTTCCCTTATAATTTTCCTCTGCTCTTCGTTCTTCATCATCGTCATCCTCCATAATTTATTGCTATTAGGGTTAGGGCTTTCACTTTTGAGAGGCCTCAGGATTGCAATCGCCGTTGACCCTTTTGCAAATTACTGTAAGATCCCCCTCCATTTTGCAAACTACTACGCATTACTGTTTTTCTGTATTTTTATTTTTCTCAAATTTTGCTCGCAGATGGAGGCTGCTCTGTACTCGAAACTCTACGATACGTACATGAAACTCAAGGTGTTCTGTGCTCTTTCCCATTTCTTTCCTTTTTCTCTGTGCTTCTTTTTTTGGTGCTTAATCAGTTAATTGCGTATCAAATTTTGGAAGGAAATGGAAAGTAAATTTTTGTTTTTCTTTCTTTGTTGTGTATTTCTCAGTTTTGAGTTGATGTTAAACATATTCAGAAGGAGCTACACATCTCCATTTTTTAAAATTAGATTTTTCTGTTTAATCTAATCTGTTGTATCAGCCTTTTTCTCTCTAATTGTTAGTTGTTGTCATGCTGTTTCAGTCGAAGAAATGGTCGGAGTTGGATAATGTTAATAAAGATCAAGAAGTAAAGTTCATGGATTATATCTCG